GACATCGTTGACCATCACAGGGCTCCCAACTATTAAAACGCTTCTTAGGTTCAATGACGAAGTCGTGACCATTAGAGATATAGGTAATGAAGTCATAGCTTGATGTAACTCTAGACTTGTTAGATCCACCGGTATAGACATCATCGACAAACTTGATCAGTGTGATCTCCTTGGGGACCGGTGGACAACCCTGTAGATAGGAGAAGGCCTCAGTGCTAGATCTCAGTAGACAACGCTCAACCAAATGAGGCTCAATATCACATAGACGAGTAACCGGAGCTTCAACTGTAGAAGCCAGCTTGGACAATGCCTTGATCTCATTAATCACATCTTCCATAGAAGCGTCAAGTTGATTAGGCGCTGCTGTAGAGCCAAAGGCTACACGGGACCATAGAACAATGTATGGTCCGATACAAGTGTAGCCAACATATGGAACATCCTTAATACTAGAGGACATTCTACAGAATGCCTTAGATAGATCTCCAGCTATGAAATACTCATAGGATCGAATAGCAAGGAGGCAACCGGCTAGAGAGTTCTGAGGATAGCCACCACGATTAGAGAAGCGGTTTAGGTCTCTAAAGTCGAACACCACCCTACACGGTGTAGTAGGATGTAGATGGCGATACACTAGATGTGAAGGAGTGTAATGTTCCGCCAGAGGAACAGGAGAACCCTCATTGGCAGTACCCTTGACCAACGTAGACCAAGCTGCTTGACACATAGCTCTAGTTGGCTTCTTCAAACCAGTTGACCGTAGATCACAGACAATCGAACAGAAACCCCTATCGACAAGTTGTGAAAGGGCATCCTCAAACATAGATTGCTGTTTAGAATCTAGACGAGCTATAGAGGCTAGACCACGTTTAGCCGCGTAGTGAAAGTTGAAACCAGGACGGTCTTGACTTCGCCATGGTACTTCAGTAGATACACGACCTAGTGGAGCAATCTTATCACTGATCCATTCCCTAGATATAACTTCCCAAGGTGGAAGTAGATCGCGGTCTGGGGCTAGAGAGGAGTCAGTGATAGCATCAAAACACATAGTAGAGCCATAACCAATAGATAACGGAAGATCGGGATGGATCTCAACGTCATCATTGAAGGTATCGTAGAGAACATAGTTATCATCTTTACCGTCGTAGCAGAACTCCAGAGTACTAGGCTTAATAAAGATGGAAGGTTTGACTCTAGATACCGATATAGATGATAGAGAGACAACATGGCTGATGTGCATAACAGCAACTTTACGTAACCAATCCATATCACGCAGTGATAGACGGGGTTCAGTACCGTCAACTGTAGAAACTTGAGTAGGTCGTTCTCCCAATCGAACAATGATACCATCAGGCGATATAGATATAGTGGTACGTAGCTTAGCCATAGTAGAGCATCCAATAATAACAGGAGTACTCAACTCATCAGA